CAACTTGTATAATCTGGTTCCTAAGCATCAGGCAATCTTTGTCAAACCAAAAATTATTTCATGATTGATATAACCCCAATCCACAGTCAGCTCCAATCTCCCTTTGGGCACTGTTAATTAGTGATTCAAAGGCCAAGACTATCTCCGAGCCATTACTTGCTAGTACCTGATTATACAAGTTGTGACACTCTGGAGATGGTAAAAAGGAGTGAAACTTTATTTCAGTATTGGGAGACCATTTGATCCTCCTTGTGTACGAGGCCACATAGGGATCTAATATCTGAGGGCCCCTAGGGAGATGTATATTTGAAAAAAGCTCAATAATTGTAACCAGGGGGTAGTGGTCGCTCTCCGTAAGGCAGTCCACATAAAAAGCACGGACTGCCACTCTTAAACGTTGAGATATCAGCACAAAATCAATAACACTACTCCCACATAAGGAACTAAAAGTAAATTTGCCAGCCAGATCACCTAGAGTACTCCCATTAAGAATTATCTTGTAGTGTTGCTGCTAGAAGGGCTAAATGAATGCCAGCAAAATTTGTTAATTCATCCTTAGAATGTCTGGCTGAAGTCAGATGACCTATGGCCAAGAGGGTTTCTTGGGGGCAGAGTGCTTCTATCACTGGAGGGACTTGAGCTTCCAGATGGGCGTTAAAGTTTCCCCAACATCAACATTTAAGTAATTATAGTCCAGTTTTTGAATGTTTTACAAACACTGCTTTAAAAATTAACTTTGGAATTTTTAATATTTTCTGACTCAGAATTATATTGCTATAGTTTTCATTTATGCATGTAATAGTTAATATAAAATATTAATATTTGGATGAGGCTGATTTTTTTTAAAAAAAACTCTTTAATCTATTTCCAGAGCTTTAGTAACAATGCAGTATGAATACCAGCAACATGATGACATCCGGAAAAGAAAGGCATTTTCCACCAGCTATGACAGTCCCTAAAAGCTGTTTATTCAGAAGAGTTAAAAGGCAATGAGGGCAGTTTCAATGGACTTTGTGCCTATATCACAGGAAACTGAAAAGTCAGGTTCACCTGCACATAAATTTGCCAGGAAATTTTTCCTTAAGTTTTATTTAGGTACTAAAAGGGAAAACATTTGGCTTGGCTTCTTAATGGAATGAATCACGTTTCAGGAAATGCTGATGCGGCCTGGCTATCAACAAGGGAAGGCACTTCCTTGGCAGCATGAAACAATTATTTAAAACTATAGCATGATCTCAAAGGGTGAAGACTACAAACCTGCTCTGCGGAAGTGACTGTACAATTTTTACTTTGTCAACTTTTTGGAGTTTTCCATTTGTCAAGAAACAATCACAAAAGAAATAAGGAGCAATGGCCTTATGGCTCTAGTCCAAACTATTCAAATGTAGTATTCAGAGGGAGAGGGATCCCTACAGACCTGTCCTCTTTAATAGCAGCAAAAAGCTACATCTGTTCATATCTTGCCAAGGACTGCTTGATTGTTGGTCTGGTATTAATCCTCATGTTAATCTCTATTTATCTGGATGTTGATTGTTGGCATTTTGGTCTTTTTACTTCTTTTTTTATGCTATTGTTTACAAGCATTAACAATACCCCAATTCAGGAATCACTAACTCAGACAAACAATCAGACAATAAATAACAGACTAATAAACACTCCCACCAACATTGACAGGGCAAATTACTTGTACATAAACAGAGAACAAACCCTACTCCCTTCTAGCATATATAGTCGAGACTAATGAAACCTCCGTAAGAATTCATCCCCTCTTAACAGAAAGGATAAAGGAATGAAGGCTGTCAGGGAATTTCATTATTTTTGCTAAGATTTTGTTGTTGTTGTTGTTGTTGCTATTATCAATGTTCATCTCAATCCTTCAGGATGAGGAGTTGCTTGCATTAACTAAGCCAGCTTTTCCCCACCTCCTCTCTCCCTAGATCATAACTTGCACCAGTACAAGAAAAGATGGCCCTTGGTTTCACTGACTGGGGTTGAAGGCTGGTTTAGCAAAAAGAAGAGTACAATCCAGTGGTGGGATTCAAATAAATTTAACAACCAGTTCTCTGCCCTAATGATTTATTCCAACAACCAGTTCACCAAACTGCTCAGAAAGTTAACAACCGATTCTCCCGAAGTGGTGCGAACTGGCTGAATCCCACCACTTGTGCAATCCCAATACACTCAGGAGAATCTCACCAATTATTTATTCTGCAGTCTTGTTGCTAAAAACAGAAAAAAAGTAAGCATTATATAAAACTTCACATCAAAAAGCACTACAATAATGTTAAATATGGTTTTCTATTTACCAGAACACTGCAGGAACTCAAAGGGGAATAACCATCAAACCCTGGGACCCAGGATAGCAGCACTGTGTGGGCTCTTGCGCTCAGAACATGAACCTCCATAGGTGGAGATGGAAGCCCTGCATTAGAAACAAAAATATATTCATAAATAATTCTATCTTTTGTTATTGTCAGCTTGTCCAGAAAATCTTTGGGATGGATATTTGCCACATATTGGAAAGCATATTGGATTCAATGGGTCCCCTCAATATCATTTTACTCTATATTGATTTTTTTCTCAGCTTTTTTTTCAATGAATTCAAGGTGATGAATGCAGCTTTCTTATTCATTGTACTTTTTACAACAAACTTGAGTTGGGCTGATCCCCAAACTTATTCAGTAAACTTTGTGGGGATCTGTACCTAACCTTATCTGACAAAAATCCAGTATCCTAACTGAGCCAACCCCACACAAGCACTTTCCAGTTGTTTTGGAATATAACCTTCATTCCCCAGTCCATGTGCTATCTGGGGATGATACACAACACATTCAAGTTTAAGGAAGCTAACTCCAGCAATTCTATCAGATAGCCCAGCCAGGAAAGTATGGGAAGTTCAACATGACTGCTTGATTACCAAAACTGAACTCTGCCCTTACCCGGGACTTTGACTTTTAACTTAGATTTTATCCTGTAGGAGAAACCCTCCAACTAAAAATGTAAAACAAATAATGAACAGTGCAGTCCTGTAGAGATCTACTGAAAAGAAAGGTAGTCTGAGTTCAATCAGTTTTCCTTCTGATTAACAGAATAGGATTATAAACTTAAGATCACTTCTATATGTTGCTTGATAGTGAGATGTTGATATATACATTTAATTAATCAATAAATATGACTATGTTAAATAAAGCATACTGAAAGTCCATCAGCCCAACCATTACACTGTCACATATTATTAATGAATATATTTCAACCTATGAGGTTTATTTATATATTTTTTTACATTTCTGTTATTTTCCTGACAAGGCCAGATATAGTCCCATAATTCCCAGCTAGTATAGTCAAAGTCCAAATGCATTTGTAGGACATGAGGTTGGGAGGGGTGCATCAGGCAAGAAGAAGAAGAAGAAGAAGAGGAAAGAAGAAGAGAAAAGAAGAAGAAAAAGGAAGAAAGAAAAAGAAAGGGAAGAAGGAGAAGAAGAGGAGGAATCTAACAGGTGTACAAATTTAAAATTCCTACTCATATATAAATTCTGCTAACTCAGTGGAACTTACTAAGTTCAAATGAATTAAATTGAACTTGCTTCTGCACAGACCTACATAAGACTCAGTATTATTGCATTCACGCTTTCTGATCATTTTATCTTTTATTATCTTTTATTATTTATTTACTGTATCTGTTATATTTTCAAAATTATTTCTAATTTTATCAGATTTATAATAGTAGTGGTACAAGCTTGCAAAATAAATCAGAAACAAATAAATGAAAAAATATTAGGATGGAGTATTTGGGGAATAACAGTATAAATGAATGTTGGGACAGTATAACTTGCTGCTATTTGCATCGAAAATAGACTTTATACACTACTATGGCCAAAAAGAACAATTTACCATAAAGTCATATTCTTTCTTAATTTTCCTTAAGATCAAAGATGGAGGAAAAGGAATGTGTTTAATATATTGTTGAAAAAAGTTCTAATACAAATCAGAGTGAATTTTAATAATGCATTTTTAAAAAGTAACATTCTCCTACGTAGTTCTGCAACTAGGAAGTGGGGTAGGATGATCTACTTTTATCCAGGTTTGATATTTGGAAAAATCTCTTTCTTAGCCTTCTCCAACCTATCGCCCTCTAATCATATTTTGGGACTTCAAAATTCCTAACATCTAGGCCTGCTGGCTAGAAATGTTGGGAGTTAGAGATCCAACTCATACATTGTAGTGTATACTATTAGAAGAGGCTACACTAAATCAATTTATTTAATATCCAGAATATTTCAAAACCAGCCAAATCTATGTATCCATTCATGCTACTAATAGTATCTCTGAACATTCAGATGAAATTTTAGTATAGCTAATACAGAAAGTACGGTATACAACACTGAAGAAGAGTAAAATCTAATTAGGAAACCCAATATAACAAGTGTAACAAATTCCTGAAACTTCAAAGGAACAACTAAGGTTTTCCAATTAGTTATTTGACGATCATGCCTTCTTTTTCTAATATATATCTGAAAGGTAACAGCTTAGAAAAAGCTAGTCTAGGCCTAATTCACAGAATAAATTAAGCCACAAAATATTTTCCATCTTAACAATTTCATGAAATCACTGCTAGTATTTACTGAATTTTTCCACACTTCCTGAATCTGACTTGTACATTTCAGGTAGACCAGATTCCTTTGGGAAATGCAAAGCAGTTAAAAATACAGGTTTTTTTCAGTACAGTACAACACTGTTCTCACTTTTATAGAACCCCTCTTATAGAAAATACATATGTCTCCCTTCCTTGTCGAAAACATTGGAAGATATATTTAAATAAAAATTTAATTTAAAATAAACTTTACAGGGTAAGTTATGAAATAATTATAGTTAAGAGCAGTGGACCTCAACAAGAAATGCAACATGTTTTTTCCAGATTGCACATTAACAAAATTTTAGAATGATAAAGATACTCTCACACATAAGACTGACCCTTTATATTGATTCGGGCTTCAGATGATGTTGCTAATCCTTTCTTGTTATGAGCTTCACAGTGGAAAACAGCAGCTTCATTAAGACCTGCAAACCCAAATTAAAACAAACATACAAATTGAGAATGTGGTTAAGTGGGAAAACATGATCATGGCACACAATAAAATCAATTATAACTTTATTTGGCTTCTTTCCTGAACAAAGATTACAAACAAATGTTATTTTACATTTTGAGCAAATCTCTCTGGAAATACAACATTTCTCTAACCACAAGGGTAGCATTTATGAGAAAGCTTGGATTCTTTTTGTTTTTCATTCTTTTTTAAGGGATTTTCTTTTACCTAAAATATAACTGAATTATTTGACAGAGCTATCTTAATGCCTTATGCTACCACTTTGGGCCACAGCCATGCCAAAGCATGGAAAAGCTCAGCAAACCAATTACAGCAAAGAATTCAGAAAGAAACGTACACAACATAGCTAACCTCTTTTGCACAGTCTGCACACAATGTTGTGAACCTTTTTTAAACCACAGGAATTTCAGTAGTAATCTAGCAAGAGACAGAGCTGCAACTTTCATGCTAGTTTTTGGTACCAAAAAAAGAAGTATGTGCATTGAAGTTAATAATTAACATACTAAATATACTAAAACCATATAAACATTTTCTAACTGCCAAAACTTTAACTTTGACATTCCAACCCTGCCTCTCTTGGGTGATTTTACTGCAACTTTGTCAAGTTGTTCAGCTGGTACTATAAAGTTCAGCTGTTAGTTTTTAAAAGGTTACTCAGAAAAGGATTATAATTGGCTCTTAAAAATTAGATTTACTTTTGGTATGAGTTAAAGTGCAGTTGTAGGGTGTGTGTGTATGTATTTGTATATATGTGTGTGTGTGTATATATATATATATATATATATATATTCCTTCCTCTATGTGCAGTCTAAAACCATAGCTCTCCATTTCTACCTAACAACAACAAAACTTATTTAGTTATTTATTAAATTTATATGCTGTCCATCTCTTCAATAAGGCAATTCTGGGAGGCTTACACACAAAATCTCTTTCCCAGAATATTGCTCAAGAAGAATGCAAAGCAAAAGTTTTGGCTTCAAAACTTAAAAGAGCTGGAAAAGGCTCTCATTTGACAACCTGCTGTCAATTGCTGATTATGGTCACACAAGATCTTACTTTGCTTCGGATTCCCACATTTGGGAGAAAAACTGTTCCACAATCAAATTTACTAATTAACTATCCTAGAATCAGCCTCTATCAGCCTCTATTATTTATTTCTCTATCAAATTTAGAAACTGCTCATCTCCCTCACAGGGGATTCTTGGTGGTGTACAAGTTACATATTAAAACATAAAAACTGTATATAAAATTTGGATAACAGGCAAACATAGTTAAAATTCAACATTAAAAGTTAACTAAAGGCAGTAGGATGCCCTTCAGAGCACTAAGCAGTCCATGGCTGTGTGCTTCTCTATAGGCCCCCAAACAAAATGCCAGGGCCTTGTGGTCCCATCCCTTCCGCCCCGAATCTATGTTCATTCCTGGTGATTGCAGGATTTCAGAAGGAGTTTGCCTTGGCCTTCTTCCTAGGGCTGAGAGAGTGACTAGCTCAAGGTCACACCACAATTCTGTTGAGCTGTATCTAACTCCAAGCAGGTGTTAACCATTAGTTGAGAAAACTCTTGTGCATAGGTATTAATTAATCAGCTTCATTGACTCTTTGCCCATGTTCATGCTTAACATTAACCCAACTGCTTCTCCTACAACATCCTCAAAATGTATCTGTTATAGCCTGTTGAGAGAAAGAGCAATAATAGTGGGCTAGCTATCATTTGAAGGATCTTGTCCTCCATTAATTTATACTGCAGTGGTATCTGTGATTTTCTCAGTGTTGTTGATTTTCAGTTTTTGTTAGTCTAACCATTAAGATTTGGGTCAATTAACTGATTATTAATGAGATGATTAATAGTAATATTTCTATTAAGATGTTTAGCCTACTCTTCATCCTCCAAATGGAACTTATATGAGTGATTTATATTCCAGTCTCTGACTGAGACCTACAATTTTAAACACACTATGGAAAAAATGGGACCGCTATATTCCTAAAACAATATTAATGGTTCAAGAAGAAGAATTAAAAAATGGTTGGCCTCTCAGCAGAGCTGATAGCATGACCATGTTTTCCTTCATTCCTTGACTTCCGAATGAATAAAGCTTTTAAATGTTGGCATAACTATCATTCTGTCTGGCACAAAAGATTAGGACCAGACTTCAAGTTCCAATGAAACTCATTTATTATTCATCTGTGTATGCACTGGAATTTTCTCAACTGTTAGCACTGCCTGGAGTTAAATAAAGGTCAACAGAATTCAAGGTGGGTTAGATTTAGTCCTCTTGTGGCTATGTAGGCACTCTAGACTGATCCCTCTTTTAACTCCGCCCTCAGGTTCTGCCATTCCTCCTCGTATAGAATTTAATATCACTAAAGTACAGTATTTTCAGATTGCATTTTCCACAAGCATACTATACTCAAAGTAATTAAACATATAGATACTGTATATCAAATTATATTATGTCAATTATATTTCATTTGAAATTACATTTAAATAAATATTAGACATGGTAGTAAATCAATTATAATATTGAATTCTGAAGAAGCCCCAATGTATACAAAAGCAATCCCTGGCATCTGTCAAACATTTGCATCAGATTATAATTTATTAAGAAACTAAACATTTTTTAAAAAAAATCTGAGGTTGGCAATGTTCATTCTAGACTACTGAAATAACTTTCTCAAAAGTTGAGTTTAAAAAAACCCACAAATAAGCCACTTGGAAGGGTAATACAATTTAAAACAATCCATCAAATCAAGGAAATTGTATGATTTTCTGAAATTATTTAAAAATATTTTGAGCCCCACATATAAACATTTTCAGCAATAATCCTGAGGAATCTCAAGTGTGAAGCTACACAATTTCCAAACTTCTCCAGTTAGTAAAAATGTGATTTGTTTTCTTAAGGTTCTAAAATAAATTCCTACAGTACATGTTTATTGATTATTTCCTAGATTTATATTCTGTCTTTTTTCAGGGACTCTCACCATTTTACATAGTGATCTCCCTTCATTTAACCCCATAACAATCCTACCAGATTGATGAACCCAAAATCATTCTCTGATGTTCCAAAGCTGAGGTACATTTGAACAGATCTCCAAGTCTAATACCTGAGCCATAACTCTATACTGTCTCTCTCTTAAATGCAAATTTTAATTGATATAATGTATAGATTTTACCAAATACTGAGGTAGTATCACAAATGGTAGAGTGAAATATAAATCTACCAATGCCCACTCTATATATATACTTTATTTACGGTCACAGACCAAAACACTACAAAAGAGACATAAGAGAATTGATCATAGCATCATAACAATCAGTCACCAAAAGCTTAACTAAGGGAAGTTGCAGCGTTCTCCTCTAATGGTTACAGCTCTTAAGAAAAATTTGGAAACCTGAGAGGTGATGTATGAGAAGACATCTCCAAGGCAATATACAAACAAATTACAGCCATTAGATCTAGAAGGGACGATTTCAAGAAGTAACTTAGATATGTCTGCGTTATACAGGGGGCAAAATAGAAGGACGTGCTCCACAGTTTCAANTTCAAAATTTTAAAATATGATTATGTTCAGCCTGTTTCTTTCTGCCGTGTTTTCCCGAAAATAAGACAGGGTCTTATTTTCTTTTGACCCCCGAAATAAGCACTTGGACTTATTTTGGGGGAGGTCTGTTATTTTTGAGGTGCAGGAGGTGGCAATCGTGGTCACCTCATGGCTGCTGCTGTGTTGCAATATTTTCAGGGGAGAGCTTATTTTAGCGCATGCGCTCAAAACCCTGATTCGGCTTATTATCTGGGGAGGTCTTATTTTCAGGGAAACAGGGTAATACTACTGCATTTTGACTGTTTTTTTATTTAAAGAAAAATGAAACTGGCATAACTTCCCCTTAATATTTTTTGCTGACAGCCCCACTACAATTGCAGACAAAAAAGAAGGGAAAACTAACAAAACTAAAACATAGAATATAGACTCATAGGGCTGAAAAGGACTTCAGAGGTCTTCTAGTCCAACACCCTGCTCAAGGCAGGAAACCATATACTATCCCAGTCAATTAGTTGTCCAGTCTTTTTTTGAAAACCTTTACTGACGAAGCATCCACAAGTCTGGGTGGACTATTTATTCCACTGACTAATTGTTCTTAATGTCAGAAAATTCTCCTTACTTCTAAGTTGGATCTTTCTTTAACAAGCTTCCAGCCATTACTTCTTGTTTTTCCCTCTGGTGCTTTGGACAATGTCAGTCCCTCTTCTCTGGGCAGCCCCTCAAATACTGGAAAACAGTTATAGTCTTCCTCAATTCTTCTCTTTCATAAGTAAATATACCACCCTCCCTCAACTGTTCATCATATGGTTTAGCCTCCAGATCCTTTATCATCTTTGTTGTTCTTCTCTGCACACTTTCTAAGGCAGAGGTCCCCAACCTTTTGGGCACTAAGGACCGATTCTCTGGAGAGAGGTTTTCCATGGACTGGACAGGCGGTGCTTTCGCAGGCTGCCTACATCCCACAGATGAGCTTTGCTTCTTTGCGCAGTCCGGTTACTGGCATGCCACGGACTGCTGCCAGTCCATGGACTGGGGGTTGGGGACTCCTGTTCTAAAATCTCAGCATCTTACTTTGTATCATGGTGACCAGAACTGTTTGCAGTATTCCACGTATGGCCTTATTATTGCAGTATAAAGAGGCATTATCACTTCTCTTGATTTGTCCATGACTATATAGTAATAGTTTACCTTCCTTATGGAACAGAAATTAATAAGACAGAAAATATTGAAGATGGGATAGTCTAATTAAAAGGGGGGGTTGATTTCCTTTTCTGAAGCAATAGCAGTTAAGCAACAGTTAAATAAGCACATTTTACCAGACACAGGCAAATCATGAACCTCCACATAGTCCTGGACCCCACTCTAATCAGGTCAGCTAACATGGTTAATAGGGGTGACTGAAGATGTAGCTT